GTCGCGCGCCGAGGCTGGGGGGGAGTCGTCGCCGCCGCCGCCGCCGCTCCCGCCGCCGCCGCCGCCGCCGAGGTGACTGAGGAGAGAGGCGCCTCCTCGCTCCCGCCTCCGCCGGCCTTCAATGCCCAGTCCCCAGCTCGCCAGCGTGAGTGCGCCCCTCCCGGGCGGCCCCGCGCGGCGCCCGGGCCTCGGGCAGGGGAGGGCGGGAGGCGCCGCTGCCATTAGAGCAGGCCCGAGACACGTCCCCGGAAGGAGGGCCGGGCCGGGCCAGGGGCGGGGAGCGCGGCTCGAGGTGGGGGAGCGAGCGAGTGAGCGTGGAAGAATGCGGGAGAAGGTGCGTGTGCGGGTAGCATGTGTCCTTGTGGGGGCGAAGGTGTGGCGAGAGCGAGTGGGGGCGAGGAGGAGCGTGGCGGACGAGGAGGTGTGCAGGGGTGCGCCTGCGTTTGTCCGGCGCGTGAGCACAGGCATCCTGGAGGCCCCTTTGGTCTTTGTGTTGATAGTGAATCTTCGCGTCCAGGGTCTTAACTCAGTCAGAAGCGTGGGATCCCTGAGTTGCAGTCAAGTAAGAGAAAACGGTCTGAGTTTCCCGTGACGCTGCTCTCTGGCGCTTCTTCCCCCTTTTGTAAAAATGTATGTAAATTTATGAATTTTCAGCGATGTCTTGGCCATCCTCCCCACCCCCATTTCCCAGCGCTAACCATCCAAGCTTGACTCTTGTCCAAGAGCCCGAGTTTTTGCCGGTAAAGTATTCGGAAGCGTAAACTTTTTTTTTTTTTGGCAAATGCTTAGTGTTCAGGTCAAGGATATTTAATGAGGTAAACCGCAGTATCTTTTATCTGTGAGTGACTCTCTTACCCTTTTGCAGGAAAGCGCCTAAGAAACGGTCATAAATATCGATAAAGAAGTGCCATAGTTTAGTTTGTGCCCTTGGATTTGTCACGAAGTATAAAGTGACTAATGTAGCGTCATTGTAGGCATTCAGCAAATGCTTCAGTTTGGAGTCGATATTGCTGGATTAGTATATTGTATTTACTTGTCCTGTCTCCCCCCCCACCCCCCCCGTGTTACCGAGCAGTTTCAGACAGGAAGTGAGAGAAGTTGAGCCTCGGTAGTGCGCAAGAGGAAACTAAGGCTGTAGAAGAACTCCCATTATCAGAGCTTTGTTTTCTGATCCTGACATTTTTAGTTTTGGATCCGGTAATTAGAAAGACTTGTTAATGGACTTTTTTTTACGGGGGTTGCAGAAGTAATTCTTTTGTTTCATTGTCCTTTGAGAAATTCCAAATGGGTTTTGTAGTTTTGGTATGCTCTCAAACTCTTTGTAACAGGTTAGCTTTGAACTCTGATCATCTAGCCTCAAGTCTTCCAAGTGTTAAAAGTATATGTGTATAAGTAGGCTGAATTGGGGATTTGAGATGAAGAATTGTAGATACAGATTTTATATTTAATGATGTAATCATAGAAGGTAATTGTGAATAAGTAAGCAACGCTGAGCTTCATAAGCTCAGCTCCGTGGGGGTCAGAGGCCAGAGGATGGAAGGTTTCCAGGGCAGTCTGTGAAACTTTGTGAGACCTTAATCTCAAATAGTGAAGGGGGGCCGTGTTCAAAATAGTAAAAGGTGTCTGAGGATATAGCTCAGTGGTAGAGCACTGCCTCGTATAAAGTACTCAGTTTAATTCCTAGTGTTGCTATTACCAAAAATGTTGGGAATAAAGAAAGTTTAAAAAAAAAAGGTGGTACTTTGTGATAGTGGGTATAGAATTACAACAAAATTCAATGTTTCTAGAAATTTTACATATATGTAACTTAGGTTTTGAGGCCGAGTCTTATCATGTAGCCTGGCCTGGAACGTAACTGTTGGCTGGCATTTGTGCTGTTCTTGCTGCTGCTTCCCAACTGCTAGGACGGCAGGCATGACCCCACTAAGCTTGGGTAGAAATTAGTGGTATATTCTTACTGTGTCCTTTTTCTTGGAAATTGGCATACTCTGCTTGAGAAGCATTGTCTTTCCCTGGGAGGTGGGAGTAGTTAGCAGTACGTGCTGCTGTGCTACAGGTGTCTTTAATAGTCATTTAATTCTCACAGCCACAAAGTGGGAGGATAGCCTTGTTGGCATTTGTTTGGCTGGCTTTTTGAGATGCTTCTGTTTGCTAGGCACTGTGGATTTGGTGATGTGCCCCCGGACTTCTCAGTGAGATAAAGAGACACATGAGCAGCAGGCACTTTGTTCAGTAGCTTGTCCCTGGTCACACAGATAATAAGAATTAGATTAAAATTTTTTAAGGTCATTTTTCCAACATACCAAGCCATTCTCTGAGATACCAAGCATATCTGTAATTTCTCCTTCTTACAGCGATCTAGTTTGCACACAGGAGAGCTGTGGGAGCTAATGGGACAAGGGTCTGAGGCAGGAGGGTGGTTGTAGGAGATGCTGACTTGAGGCTTTTGGGGGGCCTAAGCTAGGCTTTTATGTGGGAGGAGATTGTGCCTTGAAACTGTCTTGGGCCCCAGGGTGTGTGCTCTGAGACAGGTTTTATGAGGCCCCTGGGGTATGTCTGGGAGGACAGTCTGATTAAAGAAATGGAGCAGGCTTTCATGCTTGGGAACTTTGTTTGTTATGGGGGGGCATTTATTGGCGCTGAGGAGTCAACTGAAGTTGCCACTTTGTGAAAGTTTTTCTCTTGGGATGTGCAGATAATTAAGTCAAGAGATTGCAAATCACATGTAAGAAAATTCACTTGAAAGTACTTCCTTAATTATAAGTTGAACTTCAGATGCAAAAGTTTTACTAAGACAACAGTTTGTTACATTTAGTATCTAGAATAGGCTGGCATTTCAGAACACCTTTACCAGTGAAAAATAGTTCAGAACTGCTGAACCGGGTATTTTCTGACTCAGAACAGAAGTCAGACCACTCCCTCCATGAGTCAGTCAAGTAATATTTAATTTGAACCAAGTTTATAGTAGAAACCATTTACAACATCACTGAACTTTGGTGGCATAAGGGAAGGAAGAGTAAATGAAGGCTTCTGCACATGTTTTTAAAGTCAAAGGTCCATATATACTACTTGGAATTTGTGAGCAGATTAAGTAGTATTTCTTTTTCCTTTTCTTTTTTTCCCCCTTCTTTCAGTTAGGTCCACCTCCCACCCTACCATATTCTTTGAACCCAGGGCCTCCTGTCACTCTACAACAGAGCTGCACCCAAAGTCCTTTGAGGACAGTTTTGATACAATGTTGAAATTGAATAGGGACATTATAGTTCCACCTTTTATTGGAATTAGGGATTGGAAATCAGTAAACCTCTGGAGAAAGCATTCTCAAAGAAAGCTTCAGGGGTACAGCACATAGCTTTTCCATATTCACTCTGGAGATTGAAACTTCATTTGTGCCTAAATAGAAGTTGAGGATTGTTAAATAAGATTTTGAGTGAGTAGAAATCTGGACACAGTTTAATGTGGCAGAGTAATAGAGCAGATTAGTAAAGAGGGTAGTGGTAGAGGCATGGTTTTAGGTGCTTGTAAAATGTGTTAAGAGTTCGGTGTTCTTGGTTACAGCACTAAAAATATCGCTTTCTTTTTAGAGGCCTATTTGTGTCTGATCGCAAACCATAACCTTTACATCCATCAAGGTGATGGTTCATCGGGTAAAGGTGCTTGTCGACAGCCTGAGTGTCATCCTTGGAGCTCTCACGATAGAAGGATAGATAGAACCAACTGCAGGGTGTGATGTGACTTCCACACAAATGCCCATATACAAACATGGGCAAAATCAATGTAAAAAATAATTAATAACATTTATTAATCTCATAGCAATACTCTTCTTTACAAGTAAGGAATTGGTTTATAGAATAAATGTTGAATTCCAAGTATTGGGCTCTAAGCTGAGATGACAAGTAAGGACATGGTGGTGAGTGAAAAATTGTTTTTCTTTTGGAATGAAAGTACTTAACATCCCTGCTGAAGCTGTGGATGCTACTAATTGCTTTGGGAAATAGCAATTGAGTTTAATCTGTTGAATACAGGAAGAGTTGCCCCCCATTTTCAATTTCAAAACTGTTAGCTATAGATGTCTGGTATCACCATGAGCTACAGGGTTATCTTTGAACTACGTTTTCTAGTTCACTTGACTTACTGGAAGGAGTGCTTGGTATAGAGCTGAAGTGATTGTTGTACATAAATCTCCTGCCCTTTGGAACTGTAGAGGCCATTGTTACAAATTGTCATTTCCCTTGCACCTCCATGAAGAAAATCTGCGTAGAGACTGCAGGCTCTGTTGACTTTCCACAAAGCCTCATGAAGTTATCAGGGCTTGGGTGAGAGAATGACCTTTCTATACAGTGCTATGCCTTTTTGTTTTTGTTTTGTTTTGTTTTTTTCGAGACAGGGTTTCTCTGTGTAGCCCTGGCTGTCCTGGAACTCACTCTGTAGACCAGGCTAGCCTCGAACTCAGAAATCTGCCTGCCTCTGCCTCCCAAGTGCTGGGATCAAAGGCGTGTGCCACCACTGCCCAGCTGAAAGATTATTTTGAAAAGTAGACTAATTATACAAGTTTTTATGACTTGATTACCTGTTTCTTGTTTGTATGCCTTTTTAACACTTAGGTTTTTAACACTCAGGTTCTGTCTAGAGGCTGAGGATGTAAGTTGAAGGTCACCTTGAACTTGGGGGTCACCCTGGGCTACAGTGAGGCTATGTCTCAAGAACGCTTTCTAACTCTAAGATAATTCTAGAGAATTTAAAGACGAGGCTTTGGTGTGTCCTTTGCTGGTTGAGCCTGGTCTGGATCAACACACTTGAACATTCGAGCAGTCTCCTTTGGAGAAATGGTAGTTAATTCCTTTCATAGTATTTTTGGGTTGAAATTTCAATCTTCTCAGAGAATGTTAATTCTTTTGGCATAAAATGAACCCTTGATACATTTGTTCTAGCAGTCCTAATAAGTTTTATTTTTATTTCGGCAGTGGTAAAAATGTTGGCTCTAAGTAAGGTATCATTTGATAGAATTAAAAATCAGATCTTCTTTCGTCTAGTTTGTCTTGAGATTTGAACATCTTTTTTCCCCCTATTGTTTTACAGGAAGGTTGTTCTAGGCTGTTCCATCATTATATTTGTATATGTAGTTTATATGCACACTTGATGTGTATTGTTTTTAGTAGTAAGATGCATTTTCTACCTTGCATTATGGTGAAAAGCTGATCATGAGAGGACATGGCTGGTTCATT